CCCGCCTCCCCCCGCCTCCCCCCGCCTCCTCCTATGCACCGTTTCCCTTACCGACCAACTGCTTCCTCTTTGTGAATCGACGGCACCGACTCAGGCGATTTTGTCGCCACCACATCCAGCCATTCGAGCAAGCAGCATATGTCGCTGGTGAAGAGCATTGTCCAAGCGCACTCGCGGCCCTCCTCGGCAGCCCTGTCCAAATTGATCTCGACCTCCCTGCGACCCAACCTGCAGCCCTTCCTGGGCGAAAGTGCGTCCCTCCTGACCCGAATCCGGCCCGTTTCCGCCTCCTGCTTTCGACTCACCGTGTAAATGTGTGTGTGTGTGTGTATGTGTGTACGCGCGCGCGCGCGCACGCAACTCCTTTGCCACACAGTCATCTCCTCGCTTGCCACCACGACCATCAGCTCGGTCCGACACTACCAGGAGGTAGTGGCAATCCATGTGCTGCTTAGCTGCCGCTTTGAGGACTACTCCAAGCGCATCAGCGCATCTACTTTCCCTCGGAACAGCCATGCGTCATTGATTGCCGTGGTCTTTGGCCTGACGGTCCTCGGGGTGATCAGCACGCCGGCCGCCTTGAACTCTCTGCTGGAGCCGTGGTGCCAGCAGGGCTCGGTGCCCGACCTGTCCACCATGCTGAACGGTTCTCAGTCGTCAGCGCAGCTCCCGACACACTTCCAGGACATGTTGGACAATATGACCTCCCTGGTGGCCATCAACACCCTGGTGCCGATCTTTTGCCTGGAGCTACCGACCCGGTACCAGTTCCTCGAGGAGGAAGTCTCCCGTGTGCGGGACTTTCTGGCGGAACACCAGACCATGCCCCCGAGCTTGACTTTGCAGTCCCTGGTCCAGGCCTTCCCTGAGACGTTCAGTCGTTTGGAGCAGGATCCTTTGCCGGCCGGGGTGGTGAGTTTGGCCGACCTGACCGAGGACTTCCAGGATCGCCTGTCCACCATCATCTCGCCCAGTCTGCAGAAGACCCTGAAGCACTTGCTTCGGGACATTCACCTCCTGCAGGGCGGCATCTTCGAGGACGTGCTCCGGTTTCGGGAGCATGTTTTGAAGAAGGCAGCGCACCACTTTGCCCTGAACCTCAGCCTCTCGCCGGGCATGATCGAGATGGTCCGGGGCCTGAATGCCACCCTCTCGAAGGTGCTCCGGTGCGTGGATCGCCCGGTGGATGGCCGGCAAGCGGGGTGGCCCGGCGCCGGGGTGGGGCGGGGGCACTTTGGGTGTTCTTTTCTCGACTGTGGGCACCGGGGGAGGGCGGAGCAGGGCACCTTCGCCGGTTGCCCATGATCAGCTCGCTTTGTTGTGCTGTCGTCTCTAACGCGTCATCCTTCTCCGGCCCTTTGGATGCTGCGGTGGGGGAAAAAAAAAACAACCCCAACCCCAAAGGTACTCGCGTCAGCAAGCCACCTTCGACCCGGAGGCATACGGCTTGCTCAGGAGCGTGGACATCACTCGTGCGGCGGATGACCTGGTGGCCAGCTTGCGGCTGCCGGAAAATGTCCACCTGCCGGCGGACTTCTCGGACTTTCATGGCCCGGGAGATGAGGTGCTGAAGCTGGTGACGGTGCCTCGGGAGGTCGACCAGCCGGAGCAGAGCCTGGGCTGTCCGGTGACTGCGGCGTCGCTGTTGAATTTGGCCACCCCCCGGCCGGCGGTCGACGTGCTGACCGAGCACTTCCAGCTGTTTGGGCATTGGAGCAAGAGATTTGCCGATGCCCCGAAGGACCGGCCCGAGGGGTGGGTTTTGAATCGAATTCTACCGGTGTACCTGCTGGAGCAAGTCCCGGAATCGATGGCCATGCACTTGCACCGGGTCCTGGCCATGATGGAAGAGACGCCCGACCGCGCTGCCGAGACGCTGGTCCAAGTGCTGGACCTTCAGGCTCCTGGGACGCGGGCATTGGCCGCCTTCACATTGAATCAGTATGTGATGCATGTCCGCCTGGCGCGCCTCCAGTCGGTGGCACGCTTGGTGTTGGTGACGGCGACGTCCTACCCGGCGTTTGGCCAGGACTTCCTCTACTTCCTGGAGGAGGGCATTCGCAAGATGGTGCAGCAGTCCTCGAACGCCCAGTCGACCTACTTCCTCAATGACAACATCACAAAGGTGCTTGGACTTCGACCTGCCTCCGGCTCTCGGTTTCGCGCTGCCCCCGCCACCCATATCACTGACACGCATGCACATGCATACATACACACCCGGCTAGCTTGCCACCATCCTGGGGCTCCTTTACCACGGAAAGGTGGCCTCCGTCCAGTGTATTCTGAGCATGTGCAATACCATGGCCGTGCACTTCAAGCCGCCCAGCATCCTGACCCTGAGGTCGCTGCTGCTGGTGTGCGGGCGCAGCCTCTATTCGAACCCCCTGTCGCATGGGGGCTTGGTGGAGACGCTGGACATCCTCCGGCGCAAGCTTCGCCAGATGGTGGATGCGGCCTTCGCCGCGCATGACATCGCGGTCATCACGGCCTACTGCATGCCCACCGAGCGGGACCTCCTTGCCCAGCAATTGGATGTGTCCAACTCGCCCTCGGAGGCCGGGTACATCATGCATTTGCTGTTGATGGAGCTCCCCATGGCCGAGAGCCCTCGCGACATTGCCGCCGAACTTTTGAGGCTGGACTTTTCCCAGGAACAGGTGCGCCCCCACGCTGGGAGCCATTTGCCTATCTGCCTCTCCCCTTTGGCCATCCTGTTTGCGCGCCATCCTGCCCCTGGGCCTGCTCCCGGCTTGCTGTCACCTGATTGGGGCTGACACATGCGCTACTCCGCCAGAATTACCTCACTCTCCGCGACCTGCTCTCGAGGCCGGTGCTGCACTCGTTCGATGCGCTGGCCCAATTGGCCAGCCTGTTCGCCTGCCTGGCGGCGGATGCCCACCAAGTGCCGCTGATGCCGCTGCTGCTGGCTGAGGCGCTGGACAACTTGCTGGTTTGGCTGCAAATCATCCTGTCGGGGCCGTATGACTTTGCCGATGCGCAGCGGCTCCTCTCGGCCGGGGCCTTCCTGGGCGAACTTTTCGCCTTCGGCCTAGTGTCGACAACCGTGCTTTTCGATGTGCTGACTGCCTGCCTGACCAGCGGCCACAAGAATGGGTTCCCGAGTCCCGGCTCCGGCGGCCTGGTCGACCCGCCGACCAGCTTCGTTCGGTCGCGCTTGATTTTCTACACCCTGGGCACTTTCACCGACTTGCTGATGGTCGAGCCGGTCCGCTCCCATATGTTGGTGTTCCTGCCGTTGTTCATGGTGTGTCTGTCATCCTGTGCCTGTCGGATAAGGGGCGGGGCGGGGGGGGGGGGGGGGCTTCTCCCTTTGTCCGATGTCCCGCTCACACCGTGTCGAATGCATTTCTCTCCTCCCGCGACCTAGGCATACTTCTCCTCGAAGACGCCCCTCCCGGTGGAGGTGCGCATTGCCCTGGATGAATATCTCTTGCATCTGGAGCAGCATGGCGTCAATGTGGCGGATCTCTTCCCGGATGGCCAGCCACCGCTCTACGATTATGATGTGTGCTTGGAGCGGCTGATGGTGCTGCGCATGGGCGCGCCGGAGGATCTGGCCCAGCCGATTGACTGGAGCCATGTCACATCGCAGGCGCTCCGGCGGATGTGGTCCAATGCTCCGAGCCCGTGTGGTGCCGCGTCCGAGCCCGGGCTTGCGGTGACCCTGGCCACGGTGCCGGCCACCTCTTCGAAGCCGGCCGACAGGGCCCAGGCTTCCCCAGCCCCAATGCAGGCTCCGGCCCCTACTCCGGCCCCTACTCCGGCCCCTACTCCGGCCCCTACTCCGGCCCCTACTCCGGCCCCTACTCCGGCCCCTACTCCGGCCCCTACTCCGGCCCCAACTCCGGCCCCTGCTCCGGCTCCGGCTCCGGCTCCGGCCCCGGCTCCGGTCCCCGCTCCAGCTTCAGCTCCGACCTCCACGAGCATCCTCCATCCGGCAGCCAGCACCTCGTCCGTGTATCACCTGCGCTCGCGCCCGGAGGAGCACGAAGATTATGCCTTCCCCTGTGACGAGGGGTGTACCTGTCGGGAGGATTCGCGTGTGCCCCGGTACGAGATGGTCCGCCTGTGGAGTCGGGCCGTTCGGCGAATGGACATCAAGCCGACGACCGACCTGGGCTACCTGCCGCGGGGGGCCCCCTTCGAGCCGGCTCCCGGGCCATCGTATGGCGGCCAGGTGGGCTGCTGGTACTTGCACCCGGTGCTGGGGATGAACCTGCTGGATGAGGAGTTTGCCACGACCTCCACCGAGGTGGAGGGCGATGACTGGGAGGACTCGCGGCATCAGCCGGCGGACCTCCGATGGCTGAGCCCCTCGCTGCGGTACCTGCACCATCGCCGGGATGTCGGCGAGTTGGCTGTCCTGCCGGACAGCCTGGAGCACGACCTGCGCATGGATACCCCCCTCGACCGGGGCCCGGAGGGCACCTCGGGCGGCCTGACCCCGGAGTACCTGCCTTTCATCCACTACTTCCGGGACCGGCGTCTTCGCCGAGCCGGGGCCGTGGACGAAGCCACTGCCCTGCGCCGGGACGCCGGCCCGGGGCCCGGCAGCACGGTGGCCGACCCGACGCCCGGCTTGGCGGATGCTCCTGGACCGGGCCCGGGGCCGGCCTCCGCGGTGGTTCCTGCGCCGGCGGTGCCGGCGGCGGCCCTCCAGCCGATGTTGACCATGCGCGCCGGCGAGTTGGACATCGATTTCGAAGATGAGGCCGATGGCCACATCGACGAGAGTGACTGGTCTTCCGAGGGGTCCGACGAGGAGGAGCCGGCCCGGGCGCCGGGCTTCCGGCTGGCGGTGGCCCCGGCACGGGTTGCGGCTGCCGTGCGGCCGGTCGCCGTGGAGTCGGCCCATGGCCCGATGTACCATTTGCCGTTGCCGGAGCCCACCCGGTCGCCGAGCGAGCAGCCGCTTCAGATCACCGGCCGAGGGTCGGACATGACCGACGAGGATCTTGGTCGGCTGTTGGAGTCCCGGCTGACCGGGCTGCTGGTGGATGGCGGGGCGGCGGCCGCCGACTGGAAGGCCCCCACGCGTCGTGCCAATGAGGTGGCTCCGGCGCTGTCGGGTGCGCGCTCGGGGCCCGCCACCGATGAGCAGGAGTATGTGCCCCTGAGCAAGAGTGCCGGACATTGGTTCCCGACGCGGGGGGATGCCCATGCCTCGACCCCGGGCGGCCGAGTGCCCGGGCCGGATGGCAACATTCGCATCAATTTGGTGTTGCGTGGGCGGCCGCCCACTCGGGGCCCGGTGATTCAGGTGGGTGCCGAGTCGGACCTCTTCCAGCAGCAGCAGCAGCAGGCCCAGCAGCAGGCCCAGCAGCAGGCCCACTGCCCGACCGGGATGGACCAGGAGACCTCACGACAGGCGGCCCTCGAGTATACCCGCAAGTATATCCACATCCGGTCGGGCAAGATCCCCCCGGCCCCGGGCTCGGAGCCCGAGGGCGATGGATAGAGCCAGCACGAGTGAGACACATGTGCACATGCGTGTTCCTGGTGTTTCTTTCCTCGGCGTATCTTGCAAGGACGAATACATACACAGTGCATGCTGCCTGGCGTGTGCAAATATCTGCATGTCCTCCTCTCTTTGACTGGCGGCCTCCGGCCGGGCCAAGATGACTCGGGCAAGGCGGAAATGGGGGATCCCCTCCCTGTCGGGTACCCTGCGGGGCAGGTGGGGGCCTGGTGGGGGCCTGGTGGATGTGTATGTGTGAGTGAGTGTGTGAGCGAGTGAGTGTGTGAGTGTGTGAGTGTGTGAGTGTATGAGTGTATGAGTATGTGAGTGTATGAGTGTATGAGTGAGTGTGTGTGTGTGTGTGTGAGCGAGTGAGTGAGTGTATGAGTGAGTGTGTGAGTGAGTGTGTGAGTGAGTGTGTGAGTGAGTGTGTGAGTGTATGAGTGAGTGTGAGTGTGTGTGTGTGTGTGTGTGTGTGTGCGTGTGCGTGTGCGTGTGCGTGTACGTGTGCGTGTGCGTGTGCGTGTGCGTGTGCGTGTGCGTGTGCGTGTGCGTGTGTGAGTGCGTGGCCGACAAAGCGGAGCGCGGCTGAGACTTACAAGGGAGGCCAGCTGCCGGCCTGGCTTCGACCTTCACCAGTAGCAATCCGCGCGTTTGCGTGCGCCACCCGAACAAGCATAGCTATCTCGATTAAGTTGAGCATCCCCCGGGAGATCACGCGCACGCGTGCAACGTTAGCCCTGTTGGTGGCCGATTCAAGGCCCTCCCGGTGCGCTGGCGGGCTCTTTTGTCGCGCGTGCGCGCGCCCGAGGC